AGCAGAGCTTCAACGCACGCTTCGCCGCGAAGGCGTCGGCGGAGATGAGGAGCGCCGTTCCCCGCTACGTCGAGGTGGCCCGCCTATGAGACCCAACCGATAGAGGATTTTTATGTTCTTGGAGACAAAATTAAAGTGTGTAACAGTTATATAGGTGTTATTGTACGAGCTAGGTGTGGGTGTGTGAAGGGGTTATATTTGGACGCTCATGTAAAGTCTTGCGTTTCTGTTGTGGGGACGTGGTGCCAAGTGCTCTGGATTGAATTAGTAGGGCTTTTTTGAGGAGTTGTTTAGTGGATTTATTTACTTTTTCCTTTTATTGACTTTCTTTTTTTTTTCGTGGTGAAATGGTGTTCTTTTCTTTTTTTTNTTTTTTTTTTTCTTTTCTTTTGTAGTTAATGGGTCGTTGATGATGATTTTGGAATTGTGCTCGTGTTTACTGTTGTTGTATGGCTGGATCCTTTTTTTTTTGTTTTCTTTTTCTTTTTCCTTTTTTTTTCTTTGATGCGCCGTTGATGCCGATACCTTGGCAGGTGTGTAGGGCTAAGGACGGGATAGGACCGGTGGACCTTGTAGGATGGCTACGTCGAAGGGTGAGCACCTGAAGGTGCGCGAGGGCGACGTGATCGACTCGCGTTTTAAAGTTGTTCGCGAGGTTGGGTGCGGCAACTTCTCTAAGGTGTACTGCTGCTATGACGTGACGCGGCCCCGTGATGAGAAGCGTAAACATGTAGCTGTTAAGATTATTAAACGAGAGTATCGGGAGGATGCGTACTTTGAGAAGCAGATGCTGGAGATACTTAGTAAAAAGGATCCTGACAACACTACTGTGTGTCGTATGATTGATTTCTTTGAATGGAGGCGGTGCCCTGTGTTCGTCATGTCTATACACGGTCCCTCGCTGCGCTCACNGTCGTATGATTGATTTCTTTGAATGGAGGCGGTGCCCTGTGTTCGTCATGTCTATACACGGTCCCTCGCTGCGCTCACGCCGTCTTGGCTACGCCGGCGGTATTGTGACGCGTCCGAAGCTCGTGGATCTGGCGCGCTCGCTGCTGGAGACCTTTCGTTTCATCCACTTCGACTGCCAAATGGTTCACACGGATGTGAAACCGGAGAATATTCTGATAGCGGACACTGACACGCCAAAGTACTCGCTTGGCAACAGCTGGGTGGTGTGTGACTTTGGTAGCGCTTCGCTGTGGCGCATGGACCGCCTCGATACGGACCTCATCTCGACTCGTCCGTATCGTGCGCCGGAGGTGGTGCTGGGCAACCCGTGGTTCTACGCCGCCGACATGTGGAGCATGGGATGCATCTTGTTTGAGATCGTTACAGGCCAGCGGCTTTTTGAGGCTCGTGATGAACTCTCACACCTGCAGCTCATGGATAAACGGCTGGGACCGCTCCCGGAACTCTTCACGAGGCGGTCAAAGGACTCTGCAAAGTATTTCAATTCACAAGGTGAGTTTCTTCAAGAGTCGGAGTTGATACGCTCAGGAAAAGCATTCACGAGGAAGCTGTCGGATGTTCTGCAGGATGACCCGGATTTATACGATCTGATCTCGTCGATGCTCATCTACGACCCTTTCAAACGCATCACTGCGAAGGAGGCTCTGCTACGTCCTATCTTCGACGCTGGTCGTGTACCAAACGACAAGACTGTTAGCGTCGTGCATGCCTCACGGACCAACAGGGGACGGAACTCCGTCTCCGCGCGGCCGAAACAACCCAATGGTGGTGAGCAACGGGCAAGCAACGGGATACACACTAAAGAAGAAGTACAGGCTGCCGGAGACAAGAAGCCGTCAGAGCGTGGCAGGTCTGCCCCAGCAACGTGCAATGGTAGGGGTACTGGTGCAGCTTTTCGCCAGAATAAGCGCGGATCGGTATTGCTCATCGCCCCGATGCCACAACCGCCGGAGCAAGAACCATGTGAACAACCACCGCAGCCACACGCGGAGACTCCGACACAGAGTGAGGCGGTGCGTCCACCGCAAGAGCTGTGTGTGGAGAAGACAGCGGCGTCACACTTGTCGTCCGTAATAGGAACAGGATCAGGCACAACAACACGCCGCCAAGAGGCCTCCATGTCACCGCACAGGAGTGAGCGGCTCCGCAAAATCCGTGGGCTTCCCACCCCGCACAGTATGTACGCGGAGACACCGAAGGAAACACAGAGGGAGGCCGAGAAGGAAACACCCGACGTGGCAAATGCCGATATGCCAGCGTTGGACAACACACTATATGCACAGAAGTCGCCATCACCGGCGATCGGCTTGTTGACAATAAACCACTCTGAAAAGACGGCATTCTCACCAATTGGCGGTAGTGAATATCTGAGTCCATGTCGTGAGCGGAACGGACCATCGTTGGAAGTTTCTGTCATTGACCCGGCTTCTCTCTCTCAGGAGAAGTCTGTAAATGACGAGGGCGAGTCAGCGGGCACGGTCTATGGCGAGACGGACGTCGGGTCACCAATGGCGCCACAAGTACAGAAAACAAATAGGGAGACGCTGGTGCTGCCAAATGTGCAGGAAAAACTGGCACCAACCAGCGGTAATGTAGTTGCACAACGGCCGTCTACGCTGTCTGTTCCAGTATCGACTGTAGTGTCTGGTGCTGCTGCTCCCGAAAAGGGAGACCAGCCGCACTCCGCCGTGCCCTTCACGTTGGCGAGGCGGAGAGCGGAAAGCACACAACCCGGTGCCACTGCCACTTTGTTCTCACAGGGACAGAAGCCTTACGCACCCTGCCGCTCACCACCTCCACACACCTTCTTGCTCACCGCCACGGAGAACACAAATCCAACAGAGGTTCCAGAGCCCAATGGCCTCTCGAAGGAACGCAAATTGCGAGCACGTAGCTGCCCTGCTGGTACACAAGTAGCCACAATGTCACATGTTGTTGTAGACGCAACGCGGCGTGATACCCCTGTACGTAACGCACCGCACCCTCCATTGTCATTCGCTACGCGGAGAAACGTGCAACAATTCCGAACAGGCTTTGGCGCAGCCTTCGCAGGCAATCAATGCTCAGGCGATTCACAGCCGGTGGCTAAGGGTGCTGAGGTTCTTAAGGTGCGTAAGCGTAGTGGCACGCTCGTAGAAGGTGTGAAGGTCTCCAGCACTAAGAACGGTCGTACACATCGTTCCAATTCTCTAAATATACCGTTCTATCAGAACGTCATTCCCCAACCCAACGTGCGCATTATCGGCGGATACACACCCTCGAACGCCCGCGTCGCATGCCCAGCAACTCCTTTGGTGCATACTGAGGACATGCGTGCCCACCCAAACACCGTCTTGCCGGCGTGTACAGGCCACGTGAATGGAGCCACAACAGCAAAAGCAACAGATACGTCACTTCCGCAGCGGTCTTCAGCGGCCTCACGGCCTATCTACCGACAGGTGGTTCGAAAAAGCGTCACATCGACCATTGCCCCTGGTGCGGTGGCGAGAGTTACGTACGCGCAGGGGCAGCAGGAAAAGAATAGCTCCACACAAGGCGTGCGCATGACGAGTAGTGCACCCAGTGTCAGAACTGGACCAGCGACGTGTACCAACAGCTATCTACAAAACACACTCGGCAGCGCGACGTCTGCGGAGGATGGGTTGCCGGAGGCACAGTGTCCACGCATTGCGCGGCGTCTACCGGTAGTGCACGCGCCGGAGTAAGTCTGTGTGTGCGTGCGCATATGTTAATAAATATATCTATTTTTCAATGTGTATGTGTATGTCTGTTTGTGTGTGTGTGTGTGGAGAGTGTCTTTGCGGGGGCTGTGGGGCTATATATATATGTATATATATACACATATATATGTATGTTTGTGTGTGTATGTGTGTGTGGTTGTTTGTATCAGAGAGGAACAGTGATAGTATTTTTGGTGCTTGCTGCTGTTTGTTGTTGTTGTTTTCCTTCTTCTTCAATCATTTGGTGTACTCGTATAACCTCTAAATACTCCAATTGTTCATTTGTTTCTCCGGTGCAACCACAACGGTAGTTGGTGGTGACAGCGGCTGCGGCAGCAACGACGAGAAACAAGATTAGTGTTTACTGAGGGATACTGGGAGCGTACGCAAGTCATTTTTTTTTGTTGTTTTTGTTCCTTGAGGGGGTTCCATTTCATTTTTCTTTCTTTCTTTAATCCTTTTTTTTTTCTCACAATGATGGTAGATTTTACTCACTCTCGCACACCCTTCTGAACATCTTTTTGTTTTCTTTTTTTTTTTTCTCGCGGCCCTGCATAGTTGGTTCCCTCCCTTCTATCCCGTTAGTTTGTTCTTTGTCTGTCGGCTCATCCTCCTCCCCTCCATTTTCCTGCAGGTGCCGCCAGCGGGTGGCCCCCCACGACGGTAGCTGCTGCTGGGTGGTGGGGGCACGCGCATGCACGGCTCCACCGGCCGCTTCATTCACAGGCGCACGGTGGTCTTGTGTGCATGCGTGCGTCTCTGTGTATGCACGTGTGTGTGTGTGTGTGTGTGTGTGTATCTGCTGCGTGGTGAGAGGGGGGAAACCCACACAATAAACAAAGAATTGATATACCGTTATTTCAGTGGCTGCACGGCGCAGCTGCTCGTTCTTGTCTTTCTTCTTCTGCCGCTCCTGCTCCCTCGGGTTTCTCCGGGGGAGGAGAGGGGGCGGGGCGCTGTGGATGTGTGTGTCGACGCACCACGGCAAAGCGTCAGTGGCGTAGTGCGAGAGGTTTCAGGGAAGCTCCGTACTTCTGCCGTGATGCGAGGCGAAGAGAGAGAGGAGGCGAGACGCATCGACGCACAGACACACGTAGAGAAGAAGAAAAGAACAACAACAAAAAAAGAAGGAAAAAAAAAAGAAAAAGAAACATCAGTGCGCACCGCAGCCACGGGACGGAGTGTAGCGGTGTTGTCCGCGTCCCATATGGGCGCCCATCGTATCGGCTGCCTTTCCCTGTTCCTGTGTCACGTGTTATTTCTGCCTCAGCGAGTGCGTGTGTCCGGCTGTATGTGTGTGTGCTTCTCCCTGCGTGTGTGTGTGTGTGTGTGTGTGTGTGTGCGCGCGATACGAAACGAGAGGGCCGCGGAGCGAACGAGACGCAATAAGCTAAGAAAAGAAAATAAAAAGAATGATCGAGTTTGAGGTGTGAACAATGTTAGAGAATCTGAGGGAGAGAGAGGGATAGAGAGAGGGAGAAAGGAAGGGTGGTGTGAGTGTACGTGCTTGCTCTCCCCTCCTCACTCCTGCCGGGACGCGGTCACACAGACACACACATGTGCGCTGAGGCCGCGGGAGTGCGTGACGCCGTGGCACCACCACGGCGTGTTGCGGGGGCGCGTGG